TGAGTTATCAGAGAAAACAATGGCATGTGAGCGTGTCCTTCGCTGTGGGTCTGCTGGTACCAGTTGGCCCAATTAGTGAATGAAGGAAGTCAATAAAAATGTGTTATAAAGATTATGCATCATATGCAAAATAATGGTTGGATTATTAAATCCAAACACAAAATATAACCTCTGAACTTTCATTTATGACTCGATGCAACCACCTTATAACAGAAAGGGATACATGAGAAAGAAGAGATGTTCTCTGGGAGGTTAAATTCTTGTTAAAGGCATTTTCTCCTAGGGAGACTAATCTATTGAGAGGAGGACTAAACAAGAAGCTGCATGGCTGCAGTTCTGGTGGTAAAGGGGAACAGATTTTTACCGCCTCAAGAGTTCCTCAGAACCTGATGACTCCTAATAAGTGTGTTGCAGACCTTAATAGAGAGGGGTGGGTCTTCCAGAGCGAGGTCAGTCTCTGCCTCATAGATGTCCCCATTGTTGTCTCTGGCCAGGACAGACACCTTCACGCTGTCAAGGATGGCAGAGTACGCACTGTAGGCGGAGTACGGAATCAGGATGGGGACGTTCACGACTGAAGGAAAGAAAAGGGGAAACAGAAGAGAAGTTTTAGGTTTAAAATAGATCTTTTTTCTATTGACAGCAGTCGTTGGCAGTGATGTTTGACTTAAAAGACCTGTAATGTCTTAAGGTAATAGTATTTTTGTTAGTGAACAGACCTTGTCCAGGCAGCAGTGTTTTATCGTGCCGAGCATGCAGGACGTTCTTTAAAGGATTTCCAAAGTAGCTCATGGCTTGAGCGTTAACATTGATCACCATTGTCTTATTCCTGTTATCTCTGTTGCTCAGAACCAGATTCAGTTTGATATCCTGTCCAGTTATGTAACTGGTTTCCTGTTGATAAGAACAAAAAAACAATCAGTGGTTGGTGTTTTGTTGATTTAAGTTCAGCTTCAACTCATTTTCACTTTCACGTAAAACCAACCTCTTGTAAGGTCATCTCCACTTTTGAATCAATGACTTTGCAGCTGTTTTGCTGCACATTACTGTCGGGTTTTAAGTTCATCTCTCTAATGGCATGATCGTAGACCACTCTCTCCATTGTACTGCCTGTTGGGGAAAAGAAACCCTGAGTCAACTGAATCCCTTTGAGTTAAATAAATCCCAAACATTTTAGGGTCAGTAAAATACTAAATTTACCACTAAGACCTTGTAACCCTACTAAGATAGAGCTGTTAGACTGGGCATAAAATGTCTATTCAATTCTATTTATAGATTTGTGATCTCCCAAGGAAGAATACAGAAAACATTAGATACATGCATAAAATCTATTAATTTCAATTAAGCTCAGGCTTAAAACTCAGTTTCATAAATTCCACCTTAGATTTGAGCTATTTTACAAGATTTATTACTCAGAAACCCAACAGAGCATTCACTTCACCTGAATCTAATTCCTCTGGTTGAGAATGACTGAAAGAGGTGTGTTTATTTCACTAAGTCATTAACTTCTCAGCAATTCATCATCCATAGGAGTAAATCCTGGGAGGGCTCAAAGGGGATGTGTCTGCCCTTCCATTAAGATGCAGCCCCAAAACCTCATTATAAACACCATTCTTTTTTAGATTAATTTATCTCGTTACCTGAAAACAAACTCAAGTAATCTAAAATCAAGGTAAATTGAGTGTAAAATATGTCTCTTTATTATTAAAAGATCATGTTGACTACTTTAGATTCCTTCCAATAAACAAGGCTACCCTGAGCCAGGTTTCAGTGAGCAATCCACCACTGGATGAAACAGCAGCAATACGTTAAAATCAGTGAGTCATTAATCACACTAATTGTCCAATTAACACAATTTTGTAGCATGGAAATGGACGTTTTAACCACTTACTGGTTAAGAAAATAGCCAAGCTTATAATGATGTTAGCTTAAATGAGGATTTAGTCAAGCAGCAGTGACAGAGGGGGGAGGAAGAAATAGAGGAAGGGGAAATAAAAAGTACATTTAAAAAAAAATATTACACCAGAAGAAGAACATTTGGTAATTTTCTTTAGGGAAGTTGGGCCTACTGTAACGGCTGTTAGGGCAAATGTTTCAGAGGGGTTAATAGACATTTCACTTTAGTTTTTCCACACATAGAAACACAGATACCAGTAAATAAACTGAGGAATAGAGAATAAAAATGTTTGTGTTATTATTAGACCCAAAATTTAAATCTATTAAGTTTGTGGATTTATAAGTTGCCATATCTTGCTGTGTAGTTGAAATATCTTTTTGAATTTAGGTTTTTGGACAGTAAAGTTTGACGTTGGAATATTGTTTTCGGGAAGGTTTTTTTGTTTGTCCTCCGTCATCCATGGGTAAAGGTCAATATAGTAGAGAACAGTCCCAAACAGCATCAGGAGTGTCTCCCTTCTACACTGCCAACTATTGTAGCTTGAGAGCATTTAGAGTATTAGCTAATATCTCCTTAAAATCTTAGACATTAACCTTTCACCAGGTGTTTTTAATGGAAAGAAGAATAAATATGATCACCTTATGTTGCTGTATGGGCACAATGTGATCAAAATACAGTTCAGGATTCAGGTCTGTAAGGATGTGTTTAGAAAGCCTGGGTTGTTTAAGTATGACGGTGCAGATCTTTTACACCGTATTTTAAAAGGGCGCCAAAAGAATTGAGCAGATGAATAAGGTCTAAAAATTTGTTATAAAGTGCTTTTTTTTTAAATCCGGAGACTTGACCATATCCCTTTACCCTTCATTCACACACACTCATACACTGATGGTGGTAAGCTACATTATGGCCACAGCTGCCCTGAGGAAGTGGCCCTCTGACCACCATCAGTAGGTGGTCAGAGGGCCACTTACTGATGTATGACAGTAGGTGAAATGTCTTGCCTAAGGACACAACTAGCCTCGTGAGATCATCCTGATCTCGCAAGCTTTCAAGGTTTCACTCGCAGA